TATACTTTTAATCCTCTATCAGAATTTTGAAATAAGATGATAGGTTGAAATACATAAAGTTAGAATCAACCATATGTTTTACCTTCGTAAATTATCCACAAAATCTGGCGCCTCAGCAGTAGGTGAAGTTGAACATGTTGAAAGAATTTCCAAATCAGAACAGTTCAGAAGTGAAAGAGCAATATGATATTGACGAAGAGTCCTAGATAAGCAACCAGCAAGCATCAGTGTATCAGAATGGAAGAGAAAGGATTTTGGGAATCAATATCAAATCAAACCAGAGAAAATATTTAATTCATTCTTCCCAATAAAACAATTTTAAACATCATGAATGACCTAGGAAAAATTATTTTTCTATAAACGATAATAAATGCTCACTTTACAGGAGTTTTCTTCATATATTATTTTATTTCTGCATTGGCTTCACAAGTATTTTCCACATACAAAACTTGAAAATGAATTCATGAAACTTCATTAGTTACCAGCGACAAGGAGCAATTTTGAAACAGTCAGAGCCACAATCATATGTTTCTAGTAACTTTTCTTTCCAATTCGCATCTTCATAAGAAACAGATACTCGTATTCTTCTGACAAGCTCATCTGGACATCTAGAAGTTCTATCAAAAATAGCTGGGATGACAATACCTGATGCAGTCTCCACCTGAAATGATGCATAGAATGGAAGAAGTTAAAGATCCCATTCAAAAGTTTGAACATATATGTAATTATTCACTAAAAAGTGTACAACAGCTTTTACAATATCTTTAGAATATATTAAAAAAATCAATTAGTTAAGAAAGTGATTTAAGTAGTGGTTTCTTATTTAATAAGGGTTATGAAGCAGCAAGTAAGAGGTTTATCAAATACTGCAAATGAACCAGACGTAATGACAAAAGTTTAAAGCAGAAGCTGACCACAAATCCATTGAAAAAGGGGTATGTGTTTCCATCAGAATCTCTTCTGGTATTATGTCCAAGAACACAGAACGTTTGGAGGTGAAACTTCTCATCTCTTGACCATAGAGTATGAACAATCTTTGAACACAAAGGAAAGGAATAACCATCCAAATATGCAGGGCTTTCTGATATTGCACTACCATTTCCTTGCTGCACAAAAGTTCAACCGATCCAACTACAATTATACTGTCTGAGTGGAAACTATAAATTGAAAATTCACAAACAAAGCAGAAGACCCTGGTCAGACTTGCAGTGACACGTCTTCAAACCCCCCTATGAGATGCACCTGCAGTTGGGACAAAGCAACTTTTATTTCAGAAGATAATCTAAGTCAAAAAGAAGTCATTGCACATATTGATCACATAAAGCCGCTATAGAAAGTAGAGATCAAGAGAAGGAAAAGCACTTCGAACTCGGTCTCCAGACTGTTTGCAACAAGTGATGATAACATTTGGGAAAGGCCAATTTCTACAATTTTTGGCGAATCCATATGAGCAACTGATGTCCTGCATTAAAAGAAATAAAAAATAAAAAAAAAGAATTGTGAAACTTAATATACGGTAGTCTAGCCACAAATTCCTAGTCCTTACATTCCAGTTTTTTTGTTCCGAATAACAAGGCCAACGCACGTTGTTGCTTCATCAGTGCCAACAAACTAGAGATATGGAAGGAAAATGAAGCATATGAATAACATTTTTAAAACAGAATAGTAAAATTGTGTAATCAAAGAAGACATATAAATTGCCAATCATACAGGCAGATTTGCCGATTCCTCAGATTACTCAGTGTAATCAAAGAAGATTTGCCGATTCCTCAGATTGACATATAAATTGCCAATCATACAGGCAGATTTGCCGATTCCTCAGATTACTCAGTGTAATCAAAGAAGATCACACACAAAATTGAAGGCAAATTAGCAGAATTCACGTAGTAATTGAAATATACATGCATACACACATATAAATACATACATACATACATACACACATATAAATACATACATACATACATACATATATATACATACATACATACATACATACACACATATAAATACATACATACATACATACATATATATACATACATACATACATACATTTATATATATATATGCTTACAAAAATTAAGTTGTAAGCAAATAAAAATAAAAAACATAAAGAATAACACTATTAATTCAAAGTTCAATTAGATGGAGACTCATCAGAAATGACAAGAGAATGCAGGATGAGTGTCAGCCGCAAAACACAGTAGCCACAACAGCAGATCCAAGAAATTCCACAATGCAATAGTGCTAAGGCACCACTATAGCAGCTATTTAACAACATTGACATTACGAAAGCAGTATCTGCCTGAGGTTATTGATGTAATATAAAGACTAAAACATGAATTAAAGCATCATATTTTAAAGATCAAAGAAATACACAAAGTAAACAAGAAATGGTCGCATTTGAAGTAATGTATAATATCTTAATGACATTAGAGAGGGTTAAAAAGTTACATCAACGAGGGTAGGGTCAACTGTAGCATATTCTTTCTGGAATATATAAACCCACTTTGATCTCTCTGAACCAGACTCATCAGATGCCAAGAACTTCCTCTCTGGGTTAGCCTTAAAAGAACTTGTGGCTGATATCAGATTGGGATTTTCCACCAAAGCAAGTAGAATATCATCTCCCTGTTCGTAAGCATAGAGTGCAGGTCTTCACATGCTTATGGAATGATACTAAAATCATATTTATACTTGCATCACAAACCTTGTAACTTCCAATCATGCAAACAACAACTCAAAATGTCATGCATTTTTTCAGAAGCTATGCATTGAAACATAAGCTAAGAAATAATAAGCATGCAAACAAAATTGTTATATGTACATCTGTTAGCAAGCCCAATGAGGAGGCAGACAGGCCCAAATGAAGTGTCAAAAGGCCCTCTCGGCTAATGGTCTTCATCCAGTACAATCAGGCTTGTACAAGTGTGGGACACAAATGAAATACAATTTTAGCCTGTTTCTTATTTTTTGATAGCTTTAGCTTACCCTAGTTTATCTATCACCATGCCTTCAGTTTTCTTCATCATGCCTTCAATTTTCTCCATCTTAAACTAATGAATGAATCATACCATTAAACAAAATATCACTGGTCCAAATATCATTTAACCCAAACAACACAGACAATTGCTAAAGAAGATTGAGCCAAGGCCTATTCAGGAATGTCATAAGTTTTCAGTTTTTTGCCTTTTTTGAATGCAAATTGGAAACACTTTTAATTCAATTCCTTGAACTAAAAGTAGCTTTGATTTTCGGTCCTTAGGGGTAAACCATATAACTTACTTTATCAATCTGAAAAATACCCATCCAAAACAACAACCACCATAACTGCCACTGCCACTATGGCCACCTCTATCTCACCCAATTAACTCAGAATTACAAATCGTGACTGATTTATGTGCTTTGGACTTCAAATTTAGAAACTAAAACTTAAAAAAAAAAAAAGACTCTAAATTACAAAACTAAATAATCGAAACCTAAAACTGACATAGCTCGGAAAAGTTCCTAAAGAAATGGATCTCACTCACACTTTTCAAGTTTTCTTCTATGATTGTGCTCCTTCTTAAAGCAAGTAAACTTTATCAGAAGAATAAGTCAACAAGAATGTGAATACCAAACAAAGCATGCCCACCAGAGAATTCCACCAATTAATTAAAAACTAAAAATATTAGTAACATATATAGTCAAAAGAAAAGTGAGTAAAGAATGATGCAGTGACATAATTTGTTTTCTAACTACATTATCACGAAAAGGAAAATGGATGAAAGACTGATAGAGGAAGAAAGAGGGACCTGAGGTTGAGATGGTGAGGA